TGGGGGAAAAATGGGAATTTTTGGGGAAAAACCCACGAATTTGGGGAAAAAAATCCCCATGAATTTGGGGGAAAAAAGGCTATTTCCAAATCCCCCCAAAAAATCTCTAAAAAAAAAAGAAATGCCAAAAATACCCAAAAGATTAAAAAAAAATCAAGACCCAAAAAAACCCCCCAAGATCCCACTAAAGAATCCCCAAAGAAATCCCCCAAAATTGCCAGGAACTACCGTAAATCTGAAAAATCCCCAAAATCCCTGAAAATCGCCCAAAATCCCCAAAAATCCCACAGAATTTCCCAAAATCCCCTCAAAATTCCAAAAAAAAAAAAAAAAAAATCACAACAAAAAAAAACCATAAAATACCCCCCAAAATAATCCCCAAAAATTGCCAGGATCTCCCGTAAATCCGAAAAATCCCAAAAATTACTAAAACCTCCAAAATCCCCCAAAATCCCTGAAAATCCCCCAAATCCCCCCAAAATTCTCCAAAAAATTCCCCCCAAAATCCCCTAAAATCTCCCAAAAATGCCCCAAAATCCCCTAAAAATTCCCAAAAATCGCCCAAATTTCCCTAAAAATCCCCCGAATCTTCCCGGAACTCCCTGGAAATTCCCCAAATTCCCCAAATTCCCCAAATCCCCAAATTCCCAAATTCCCCAAAATCCCCAATTCTGCCGGAATCGCCCCAAATCTCACTTGTTGAGCCAGATGACGGCGTTCAGGTCCAGGTGGTTCGTGGGCTCGTCCAGCAGCAGCAGCGTCGGCTCCAGGAACAGCGCCCTGGGGACACAGCTGGGATACACCTGGGCACACCTGGGCACACCTGGGCACCTGGGCACACCTGGGATACACCTGGGGCACCTGGGATACACCTGGGCACACCTGGGATACACCTGGGCACACCTGGGATACACCTGGGATACACCTGGGCACACCTGGGGACACACCTGGGGCACCTGGGATACACCTGGGCACACCTGGGCACACCTGGGATACACCTGGCTACACCTGGGATACACCTGGGGCACCTGGGATACACCTGGGCACACCTGGGCACCTGGGATACACCTGGGGACACACCTGGGCACACCTGGGCACCTGGCACACCTGGGCACACCTGGGATACACCTGGGATACACCTGGGATACACCTGGGGACACCTAGGGCACCTGGGTACACTTGGCCCCACCTGGGCTCACCTGGCCAGGGACACGCGCATCCTCCAGCCCCCCGAGAACTTCCTGGTGGGCCGGTTCTGCATCTCGGGGGTGAAGCCGAGCCCGGCCAGGATCCGCCGCGCTTTGGCCTCGGCGGCGGCGGCGCCGATGGCGCGCAGCTCCTCGTACACCTGCGGGGGGGACAGGTGAGATGGCGGTGCCCAGGTGGGACCAGGGATGCCCCACGTGTGCCCCAGGTGTGCCCCAGGTGTACCCAGCTGTGGCCAGGGGTGCCCCAGATGAGCCCAGGTGTGCCCCAGGTGTGCCCAGGTATCTCCCAGGAACCCCCCAGGTGTATCCCAGGTGCCCCCAGGTGCCTCCAGGTGTGCCCAGGTGCCCCCAGGTGCCCCCAGCTGTGCCCCAGGTGCCCCCAGGTGCCCCCAGGTGCCCCCAGGTGTGCCCAGGTGCCCCCAGGTGTGCCCAGGTGTGCCAGGTGTGCCCAGGTGCCCCCAGGTGTGCCCAGGTGTGCCCAGGTGTGCCCAGGTGTGCCAGGTGTGCCCCGCCGTTACCTTCTCCAGCCTCTGGGCGGCGCTGTCGTCGCCGCTGTCCAGCAGCCGCTGCAGGTGCCGCTCCTCCTCCAGCAGCCGCAGGCGCTGCGTGTCCGCCCGCAGCACCGCGTGTACGGCCGGCGTGTCGTCTGCGTGGACCTCTGCACGGGTAAACACGGGTAAACACACGGGTAACACACAGGTAAATACATGGGTAACACACAGGGACAGACAGGTAACACACAGGTAACACACAGGTACAGGCGCTGCGTGTCCGCCCGCAGCACCGCGTGTACGGCCAGCGTGTCGTCTGCGTGTACCTCTGGGACACGTGAATACACGGGTAAACACACGGGTAACACACAGGTAACACACAGGTAAATACATGGGTAACACACAGGTAACACAGGTAACACACCGGTAACACAGGTAACACACAGGTAACACACAGGTAACACACAGGTAACACACGGGTAACACACAGGTAACACACGGGTAACACACAGGTAACACACGGGTAACACACGGGTAACACACAGGTAACACACAGGTAACACACGGGTAACACAGGTAACACACAGGTAACACACAGGTAACACACAGGTAACACAGGTAACACACAGGTAACACACGGGTAACACACGGGTAACACACAGGTAAACACAGGTAACACACACAGGTAGCAGACTAATAGCGCACATGTAACACACGTGTAGCACACATGTAACACACGTGTAACACACATGTAACACGCGTGTAGCGCGCGGGCGCGTGCCCACCTTGCTCGCAGAGCAGCACGTCGATGTTGGGCGGGATGTTGAGGGCGCGGTTGGCGATGTGCTTCAGCAGCGTCGTCTTCCCCTTCCTGCCCCAAAATCCCCCAAATTCACCCCAAAATAACCCAAAAAC